AGAGAGAGAGACAGAGAGAGAGAGGGAGACTCAAAGAAGTCCCTTTTTCATTTTCTTTCATTTAATTTGAAAGATGGCATTTAAAAACATGGTTGTGTTCCATTATGACAAATATTTCAAGTGTTTGGAAACTTGAGAGTGAAAGAAGACAATTATTGTCACAAATGTGTAACCCAAATACAACAAATAGAGGGAGACGAGATAAATAAATGGAAATGGAACCAATGGGGAAGCCTAGGTGCATACACTACTGAAAACTGAACATTTTGAAGAATCATGTAATAACATATACTTATTCAAAACTATAGATCAATAGCATAGAAGATTAGAAATAATTTATTCTGTCTTATATAAATTATGTTATGCTTTTAGAAGAGAATGAACTGATAAATCTTTATTAAGATATAGCCAAGCAAAAAAATGTGTTCCACAGCAACATCCAACAGAATTTCATGCATGGACCTGAGATATGTCAGTTATACAATGTAGTCCAATGAAAGACAGTGATAACATCTGGCTCCAGTTCTATACAAGTGTGATACAGTGAGTGCTACCATAGTCATAAATCAAGTGTTTGCTAGTAAAATTAATATTTATGCTGAGGGAAATTATTGTTCCTTAAGAAAGAGAAAGGGAGAAGAGGAGGAGAGAGGAGGACATGACAGAGCAGGAAGATTTAGTCATGGAACGATTAGAGGAGAGCAAGAAAAGAGATACCATAATAGAGGGAGCCATTGTAGGTTTAAAGAGAATTCTGGTACTACAGATATTTCCAGAGATTTACAAGGTTGACCCCAACTAACAATCTAAGCAATAATCGAGAGACTACCTTAAATGCCCTTCTCTGATAATAAGATTGATGACTAACTTATATGCCATCCTAGAGCCTTCATCTAGTAGCTAATGGAAGCAGAAGCAGACACCCACAGCTAAACACTGAGCTGAACTCTGGAATCCTGCAGGGGAAGCTGTAGCCATGCCTACTTAGGGGCTGGCTACAGGTGTGCCTGACCACGCTTGTGAGGGCATGGTCAGAGTGATGTAGTGTGACTGCATTTGCTCTTTTGGTTTCACTTTGCTTCTTGCTGTACAGATCACTGCCACGCCAGCTGACTAGGTCGCTCTGTAAGTAAGGCTTTTCCCTATTTAATACCCTTATATTTCTACCTGACTCCGTATTGGTAATTTCACACTATAGAATCCAGTTACAGAAATGGAGGAGTGATGAGCAAAAGGGGTTAAGACAAGGCTGGAGAAACCCACAGAAACAGCTGACCTGAACAAGGAATTGCTCATGGATTCCAGACTAATAGCTGGGAAACCAGCATAGGACTGTTCCAGACCCCCCTGAACGAGGATGTCAGTTTGGAGGATGTCAGTTGTGCAACCTATGGGGCCTCTGGTAGTGGATCAGTATTTATCCCTAGTACATTAATGGACTTTGGGAGCCCACTCCACATAGAGGGATACTCTCTCAGCCTAGACACACAGGAGAGGGTCTAGGCCCTGCTCTAAATGATATGTAAATTAAATGATTACTTAGAGCCTCTGCAATAGACAGAATTCCACCATACAACAAAATTCTCAGATACAAAAGTTCTCCTACATTTTTTGTTCAAAATCACACTTTCCATATGGAAACTGAACCAGAACATAGAATGAAAGCTCTGGCCAACCCCAAAACTTCTCAAGGACCTAATAACAAGACAGAAATGTATGATGAGTAACACTCACCATTGGTTTTCCTCAGTTCCCCCACCATATAGCGAGCTTCCTCTTGAACACGCTCCTCAATGCTTCTCTGCCCCATCCCAAAGTTGCGCAGAGTCACAAGTGAGAAGCGTCTCATCGTTTTCCAGATCTTGCCACTGCTGAAAACAATGCCTAAAAGAAGACCAGAAATGAGTTGGGAGATCCTAAGTAAGGAAGGGGGACTGATGGCAGCTGCCACACAGAGAGCTAAGCTGTGTCTGATAGATTTTCCAAGATTACATTCCCTATGACCACAGCCCAACACACATACATGGATACATAGGTGCTTAGATGTGTAGATGAGTGGACATGTTGGCACATGGACACTTACCAAAGCCTTGACCAATCTTATCAGCCACTGGAAAGCTTCCTCTTCCAGCAAACTCCTCCCCATGATCAACCATGGCTTCTTTCACAGCTTCGTAACCAAGCAACACCACAGCAGGCTTCCTGCCCAAGTACAGAGTGAACACAGGACCATAGACTTTTGAAAGCTGCAAAATAAAAAGTAATTTAAAATGGAACAAAATTATCATTTATTAATAATAATTAATAATATATATGTTAGTGGTTAAGAGGCCATGCCTACCAGAAGACCAGGTAGGCTGCCCACTGACCTTCCCCACTCTTTCCTTTATTCTAGATCCAGTTCTCATGGTTGCTTCTAGAGCTGCAGCAGAACACCAGCTGCAGCTCCCCACTCCCCTGTTCCATCCACACCTTCTATGGACCCCACAGACCATCTCACACCATCCTTCCTTCCCTGATTCTTCACTGTATCCCATGCCCCAACTTGACCACAGGCCACATCTGCCAGCAGACAAGGTAGGATACCAATGGACCTCTCCCACTCTCACTGTTACCCAGAACCAATACTCAGGTCATGCCTAGCACTGCAACAGACTAACTCATCTTGGCTTCCCCTTCCACTAACCTCCAACACCAGCAAGCATTCCAATGACTACACCAGATGAGCATGCAAGGTAAAGAGCCAACACACTCTGAAAATCAGGAGTATGAACAGAAACCAAGGAACATAACACCCACCCAACCAAGATAAATCCAAAAATTAGCACCAAAACCTATAATCACCCCAGACCAAGATGCCTAGATGCTAGTGTAAGAACATAAGCAATAACAGCCAGGACAATATTTCTAGAGCACAAGAAAAAAAGGAAAAAAAGCCTTAAACATGTGGGCAAAAAACTCCTGTCCTTCCTTGTCTCAGTTGCTGATGGTATATTGTCCAAACTGAACTAGACTGCCAAACTTTTCCAAAACAAGGTAGGACAGTCCTTCAGAATTCCCTGACACGTGGGAATGTCTGTAAGATATGCTAGGCCTCTACAGAGCTAGGCATACAGAGTTGGATGCCCCAGTGTTGCAAAATTTGGGTGACTGTCCAGGCAGCCTGATGTCCCTGTCGTTAGGTCTTTCTGTGATCCTTGATAGTATTCCTAAGTTATAATAGAAAGTAAATTAAATTTAAAATTTTATACTCAGAAAGATAAGTCAGATAATTGAGTATTTTCTCTAATTTTGCCAAATACAAACAGATTGGATATTGTAACTGTAGTTATTAATTGATAAGTATTTTGTTATATATAGTTTTACTATGTTAAGGTTAAAACCTTCTTTTTTAATTAGACAAAAAAGGGAATGCTGTAGAAGAATTCTTTGTACACTGTGAATATGTATTGCTCTCATTGGTTAATAAAAGCTCATTGGCCAATAGCCAGGCAAAATGTATAATGTGTAATCAAACTGAGGATACAGGAAGAAAGGAGGGCAGAGTGGGGACAGTCACCAGGAGCCACAGAGGGAACAGGACATACTGGATGACAGGTAAAGCCATGAGCCACATAGCAGAGGGTATATAAGAAATATGGGTTAATTTAAAATGTAAGAGTTAACTAGTAATAAGCCTGAGCTTTTTGCCAAGCATTTAAAATTAATGTAAATCTCAGTGTATTTATTTGAGAGCAGCTATGGGACAGGAAACTCTTCCCACACAGAACATCAAATAGATTGGGCCAGAGAAGAAAATCCCATTGCCATATAATAATTGAAACACTAAACATACAGAGCAAAGAAAGAATGTTAAAAGCTACACAGGAAAAACACCACATAACATATAAAGGCTGACCTATCAGACCTATCACAATGGAGATTCTAAAAGACAAAGGGGCTTGGAAAGATGTGCTTCTGACTCCAAGAGACTATAGATGCCAGCCCAGATTACTATACCCAGAAAAAGTTTCAATCACCATAGATAGAGAAAATACAACATTCCATGATAAAGTCAAATTTAAACAATATCTATCTACAATCCAGCCCTACAAAAGTTGCTAGAAAAAAAGTTAAAAAGAAGAAATTTAACTACACTTATGAAAACCTGGGAAGTAATCTCACACCAGCAAAACCAAAATAAGGGAAGCATACATACATATATACATCACACACACACACACACACACACACACACACACTCA